GGTTGATGTCAGTATCTAATTTCACTACATATCGATCTTGTGCTTAAACTATCATTGTAAAATGCAATTGTAATGCACTAAATAAGATTTAAAATGGCTTTCAGATTCCAGGTCGAAAACCACAAATGGGCAGTGCCCTGGCCACTCTGCCCTGGTTTGTTTAACTGTGACTCTCTCGGGTTGAGGCATTAGTACTTACCTCCCAGGATTCTGCAGCTGGGGCATTGCAGTAAGAACATCATCCAAAACAAGCCATTCTAATCAGGAGAAGTTACAGGTTGCACTTGTAATTTTTTCCTATCTAGATTTTTTTTTTATGTGCCTGACAGGATGTAATTTTTTCCTATCTAGATTTTTTTTTTTAAGTGCCTGCCAGGTGGTTCTAGTGGAGTGGGATGATTTTGAAAGGCAGGATTCCCATTATCCCATGCAGAAAGAGCGATCTGCTGGAGTAGAGTGACACTTGCTTTAACTGGTGATAATTGCATGGTCCATGCTGGCAGATGCTGTATCTGTCTTGACCTTTCATTCAAGTGCAAAGACAAACTCTTTTGCCACAAGGAAGGAGAGCTTGTTTGGAGCTGTAATTACCAGGCTAGAATAAGTATCACTGCGCAATGAGAACATGCTTGAAAAAGTCTCTAAAGACCTTTATTTGTTGGGCAGTGATAGAACCAAAATAGAAGCTTAGCCTTGCCACTCCCGTGTCAGTGTTAATTTGTGAATAATTGGTAGAAGATCCCAGAACCAATGTACCAGTGATGGATTCGGTGTGAAAAGTGAGCTTTTGGTTTTTTGCCTTTAAAATAATTTTTATCTGTTTGGTGTTTCTGTTCCTCACTTAGTACTTGTGTCTGCCAATTGTCCGTTTGGTGTTTCTGTTCCTCACTTAGTACTTAGTACCTCTTTATCAGGGAATGCAGCGATAGGGCGAAGTCAGGGAATGCAGCGATAGGACGAAGGGGAATGGTTATAAATTCAAAGAGGGGAGATTTAGATGAGATCTTAGGAAGAAATTCTTTGCTGTGAGGGTGGTGAGACCCTGGAAGAGGTTGCCCAGAGAAGCTGTGGCTGCCCCATCCCTGGAGGGGTTCAAGGCCAGGCTGGATGGGGCTTGGAGCAACCTGGGCTGGTGGGAGGTGTCCCTGCCCAGGGCAGGGGGTTGGAACTGGACGGGCTTTAAGCTCCCTTCCAACTCTAACCATTCTATGATTTTATGATTAAAATCCACCTATTCTAGGAGCTCCTTCCATGTCTTTATAGCTCTTTTCGGTCTTAATGACTGGAAAACATATGGCATCCTTAATGCATCGCAGCATGGGAAACACCAGCCAGCACTGGCTCTGGTTAATAGCTTCTGCAGAGCTTTTTCCTGAAGGATAGATGGTTATTATTTTTTTTTTGTAAAAGAGAATTGAGCAGCACAGCTAGACTTCATGAGCTGTATTACTTGGAGGCGTTTCTGTTGCTGTTTAACGATTTAAAAAAAAATAATAATAATTTTTGTGGTCCTGTGCTGGTAAGGAAGGACTGTATGTTCCTTCAGCGGGGGAGCTACTTGAGTGGTCACAGTGAACGGGGGATTGCTCTTTGGTCACAGTGAACGGGAAACTCATCTGTTTATCTGCTTTTAGCCCAACATGTTTTAAAGTCCGTGTGTGTGTGTAAACTGGGGTACTTGGAGCTGCTGTTTCAAAAAATGTTCCTGATTAGAAGATGGGCCAAGACAGGGTTCAGCTGGTGTCCAAGGGCTGGAGCAGTTTTCTCTGGGTGATGGGGCTGTTTTGGTCCTTGACTGGAGAACGTGTGTATACTCACAAGTCTGTGTTGGATCTGGTACTGGCTGTTGGGTCACTTGTCACTCCTGGAAAATATTGATGAGTTGGTGCTCCTTCTGCTTATCAGTGTGTAGCCCAGTAGAGTACAGAATTTGGCCATCCTGAGCTATGGCTGTATTGAATTTCCTGTTGACTTTACGGACCAGCTTTGTGTGTTAAAGGGTCTGAGACGTGAAAGCACACTTAGGTGGCCAGGAGTCCTGTAAAAAAACCACCCATACTTCAATATATGATCACATGCACTGTGTAACCCTTAAGGGAATATTTTTCAAGACCACTTTTTTGTTTAAAAGTGATCATTCTTTCAATAACAAACCCAACTGTTCGCAGTCATCTGCTGACCGAAACCTCTGATGGGTACGTTCCCAACAATAGATCAATAAATATATTATGAGGGTCTGTCACTTAGAGGCTCCTGGCACCCGTCAGATAAAATCAGCTCTGGGAGCAGAGCAGAAGGACTAGTTTCTGCGGCGTGGTGAAGGGTATATTTGCTCTGCACCATTTACTGTGTCGTGCAAATGTAGGTCTTGTCCTCCAGCTTGTTTGCGCTTGTTGGATTTTAGCACATCCTTTTCAACACAGGTGCCTGTCTGAGTTCAGTCATGCTCCCTTGCAGGCATCTTCTTCAGCTGCACACAGTGGTACTCGGGGAGTGTTGAGTTAGTGTGAGGAACCTCTGCTCTGTCTGATTTTGTCTTTAGGAATGTCACCTGGAAGTCTTTGACACCTGGGGCTGGATCTGGGGCTGTCACCGGTGTGGAGCTGTATGTGTTGCTTCAGGCAGACTTCTTGGCCCCGGGTCCTGTTCTTCACCACCGTTTTCTTTTCCCTTGTCCCACATAGCTGTGCTTTGTTTACCTCCCACGCATCCCTAGAAGGACCAAGCACGGCTCACTTTGCCCCACACCTCACACATACGCAATGACAAGTCTTCGTGCTCGCCAGCTTGTGTTGGTCTCTCTTCGTCATAGCTTGAGAACGTGTCCCTGCCCCCTTTTTTCTTCCTTCCGTCTTCTGAAGCTTCAATGAACTTCTTTTTCTTTTTTTTTTTTTTTCCCCTGTTGCTATAGTTACACTGCCTTTGATGGAATCAGCTAGGTCCTTCCCTTACGGGTGGAGGCAATTCTTAGCCATACTGGTTCTGGCAGTAGTCCCATCCAATGTTAGTCTTGACGTAAGCATCATGTCCATATTTTTTTTTGGAGGGGGGAGGGGGGAGTAGTCTTTACGTGTTTGTTTCTGTACCAGGAATACTGTTATCTGTGCAGCAAAAGCTCGTAGTCATCTCGAAAATCAAGCTCAGCCTTGCAGTATGCAAATCTGGCATTCAAGTTGATGGTCCAGACCTTAAAGTGGTCCTTAGCCATCAGTTAAAACTGCCGGGAGGTTCCCTGGTTGCTTCTCCTCATCTCTGTTCTTCTGAAGAACTGTTTTACTGTCTTCTGGGTACTCAAACTCCTACGCACAGAGGATTTCAGAGCACTGTATTTGCTTCCTCACATTTTTAAGGGAGGAAGTGCAATTTATATCCATGAACTGAGGCAGTGCCCAGGACTGCGCTGAGAGGCCACCGGTGGTGTAAAGAAGGGACTGCCTGCTTTTGGTAGCACATGCTGAAGTTTGTTGCCTTGCCTTCTCTTTTTCCCAACACAAAGCTCTGAAGTTGCTCTGGGGATGTGAGGTAGGAAAAGGTGTCTGGGAGGATGGGGATCTCCAAGCGTGGGTGTAGCATCCACGAGCGCAACCATCTGGGCTGACTTGATGTGGGCTTCAGTCACTGAAGACCAGGCTGGATGGGGCTTGGAGCAACCTGGTCTGGTGGGAGGTGTCCCTGCCCATGGCACGGGGGTTGGAACTTGATGATCTTTAAGGTCCCTTCCAACCCAAACCATTCTATGATTCTATAAACATTATTTGAATTGTGACAAACCATAGGCCAGGGGGTCTGAAACCGGTGTGCTCTATCCAAGCTGATCTAGAATTTACTGCAGTTGACTGTTTTGGGGTGGTTTTTCTATGTTCCCATTTGTTATATGCAAAGGACTCAAGTTCTGTCTGATCAGTGCAACGAGAACTGGAAGAGGGTGCTGTCGAAGTGTCTCTGTTCAGTTAAATTATCATCAGGAATCAAGGTGAAAGGGTTTGGTTCCTAAAACCCCGTGTGAAAAGATGTACTTCTGGAAACTCTTACCCAGCATAGAGCTAACAGGAGAAAGTAGTAAATTTATCCTTTTTTCAGGAGGATTAAATCTAAAACGAATTTGCAGCCCAGTCTCACAGACTTAGAGGAAGATAGATACATACCTGTAACCAAACATTATGACTTGCCTTGTTTGTAATATTTGTGTAGGAAAAAATATATTTCTTCTCAAACTTCACTCAGAAAAGTTTTTGCAGAGCAATTTCTAGGCTCTTCCCAGTGGAGCAATGGTGTCCAGTTACAATTATGGCAAACCGATGTTCAGAAACTGGGACCCCTTAAAGAGTGAAATATCTTGGTGAAAACTTCAGTTAATTTTAGGAGGAGATAATATCATCACCCTTATCATTCAGGGTCTGCACACGGAAAAGTAATTAGCAGTTACAGTCGTCACTGATTTCGGTTTTGAGAATTGCAGCTTCTGTGTTTCCATCTTATACAGTATTTCCAGTTTAATTCTGAGTTCTGTGGTAAATAGGAAGTTCCTCAGTAATTCTGCTGTGTCTCCTGAAATGACACGCATGGGATTATTCAGAATTGTCTCCAGACATCACTCTGATACTTTTGGGTGGTTTTAAGCAAGTTTTTAAGCAAAAGCTTTCAGTTTTAGTGGTTGAATGTCTGCCTTTTAGGTGTAGGTGAAGCAGGGCTGAGAAATACCCTTCCCAAAAGAGATGCCATCTGACATAAGAGCTTTCCAGTGTTCGTAGAGAAAAGAAATGGTTGTTCTAGTATTTCTCAGTTTGTATTTGTCTTGCCTTTGTGATTTTTCTGCAAGGTAATACCTTGTTAAGCAAACAAAGCAATTTAGTGATTATCGTATATGTCAATAGAAGCATCACCCTACAAAGCCACAACTGTTAAGACTTTCTTCATAGAATTTGGTTTCTAATACCAGCTTTAAAATATCCTCCTAACGGTGATTTGTTGCTGCAATGATCCTGTTCTTCCTCTTTCAGAATGAGAAGGCTTTGGGGCATTCCGTGAGCCGCTCGAGTAACATCTCAAAGGTATGTTCCCCGACCTAATTCGGTCTTTAATAAACTTGGGGATACTGGGATCGCTTTTCATTCTGAAACTGGGGCGATACACGGGGCAATATGGCCGGTAGAAAATGCTCCTTGTGCCTGTCTGTCATTGATAGTCACTCGTGAAACATTAGAGCTCGCTGGTGTTCTGCAGACTCTCTTTACAGGTCAAATGAAATGGAAGCTACAGCAGGTTTTCTCTTTCACACTGTCAGCCTCCGTAGCTCGGTAGGAGCAAGATAGATGACAGATCTTATCCTGGGGGGAAAATCGCTCCAAAACCATCATTCCAGTATATTCTTTTATACAATAAGCTATGTGATGTAATGTTGTCTGCAAGATATGTATCGCCGTGCATCCCATAACGTGTATTGGACATGTGGGTAAACGTTATTTTACTGTTACTTCAACACTGAATTATTGTTCGTGCCACTAAATGCATTGTTATCCGGGCATGACTGTGTAAGTATTTTTAAATGTTTGCTATTACAAGCCCTGACCTTGCAGGGGAAGCACAATGCTCTGCCTGGTGTAGTCACACTTCTGTGTGCGATGGACACGTCAAAAGCACATCATCTTCTGTCCAAGATAACTTATTACAATACATACCCTACTCCTACTTCTGCATTACGAATGAGAAGGGGTTTTTTTAAATTAGCTGGAAGCCTGACACCCTTTTGTACTTACACAAGTACACTTAAAGCCTTCATGCCAGCAAGGCTGTGCCGGGTGACCAGTGTTTTCCACGGGGTGCGTAAGCCTCAGCCCTTCGTTGCCACAGTTAATGACGTTGGTTAATAGTGACTTTAAATGAGAGACTTAGTCATCATGGCTGTGACAAGCTCAAGTCCCTTTTTTTCTATTCTGAGCACTTTAAGACATAAGAAGCAATTCGTGCCTATCTCCAGCAGAGGAAACAGTGGCTGCACTTAATTTAGGCTTTATATGGGCATGGACAACTTTCACTTTGGAGCAGAATGACAAGATTACTGGCTGTCTTAAATAACGAGAAGGGGAACTCTCCAGTGCACAAGGTATTGGCTGAGCTGAAGGTGGTGTTATCACAGAGTGATGTGGGACTGTGTTTTGCATTCAGCATCAGAACATCTGCATTCAGATTTGTGTTTTGAAATAGATACCATGTTAAGTATAACTTCTCACCTGTGCTCTTCTAAAATGGGACTGTACCTGTTCTTTCTTACCCTGGTTCTTTTCCTCTTAGGGATACTTAATTGGACTGTTCGGGCATTGTTAAGCAGAGATGGTAGTTTTATCATGAAGTGTCACTGTGCTTTTCTCAGAGTGTCTGAAATTCAGCCCAACAAGCCTCTTGGCAGCAGCAGTTTGGTGCCCAGATGAAGCTGCATGGTTCATCCTTAATGCATGGAGAACTGCTAGCTTGGCAGTGCAGGAGGAAGGACCTTGCAGTCTGGCAAAGCTCTCCCCTGGAGCGCTGGCAAGTGAGACATCAATATTTGTGTCCACTGAAAGGTTCAGCACCATTGCTGTGTGTTGCAAAAGCTGACGTTCTCAAGGGGGGCAAAAGTCAACTTTGCCAGTTCAACGAGTGAGACCAGCACCATTGCTGTGTGTTGCAAAAGCTGAAGTTCTCAAGGGGGGCAAAAGTCAGCTTTGCCAGTTCAACGGGTGAGATTTTTTGGTTGCAAACATGATTTTCCCAGAGGTATCGATGTTCGTACTGCTCCTCTGTCACCTCTGTTCCCTTCCATGCACCTACCCCACTCTGGAGATGGCTTCTAACAAGGGAAAGAGGTGGAAGTCCCATGGGTGGAATCATCATGAGGGTGGTGAGAGACTGGAACAGGTCGCCCAGAGAAGCTGTGGCTGCCCCATCCCTGGAGGGGTTCAAGGCCAGGCTGGATGGGGCTTGGAGCAACCTGGTCTGGTGAGAGGTGTCCCTGCCCAGGGCAGGGGGTTGGAACTGGATGATCTTTAAGGTCCTTTCCAACCCAAACCATTCCATGATTACCCTGATTTGCCTCCATGCACGTCCAGGCAGTTCAGTGCTATACTGCAACAATTTATTTTGCCATCTATGGTGGGTTGGCTCTTTCAAGCCACCTGTAGGACAAAACAGGAAGATTATAGTAGTGGGATGCTGCGTGGAAGCTTTAGTACGTGGAAAATTTTTCATTAGTTCTGAGGTTTACTGGCAAGGTGCCTTTTATTTTTCATTTAGAATCGTGTAACAAGCTGACGCAAAAGGCAGATTGTAAAGGAAGAAGCACGGAAACGCTTGGGTGCCTGTATAGCCCTTTCTGAAATCCTCAGAGCTTGTTGATACTACACATCTTAAGAGGAGCTATTTAACCAAAGTTGAGTTTAATCAATTATATGCTGCGTTTCCAGATATGTTGATGTGCGCGCACACGGAAATAATGATCACGCTTCCTGCAAGTGACTGTTCGAGCTATTATTTTTCCACCCAAATCTAACTTAGAGAGTAGCAATGTAGCAAATCTGCTACAAAGGCTTGGCACTGGCACTCGATTCAAAGCCTTTCTGGGACTGCTGTGTCATTACGAACCCGCTGTGATTATTACTGTGTGTCTTTCCCACTGCTCTGGGTTGCAGAATGTGCTATGAGTGGAAAGGGTTGAGTCAGAACTCAGCCTCCGGCCAAGAGAGGATGCTGTGTGGCTCGGTGTCACCAAGGAAAGCAACACCCAAGGGCTAAAAGTGGTGGAGGAGGGAGGCAGACAGATGGTGCTGCTGAAAATGAGAGGTGGGAGGACCTCTCCGAACATGGACCCCAAGGGTTGGGGCCAGGTGGAGCCGTCCCTTGGGAGGAAGGGACCAAAAGGCAGTTCTCCAAGAGGCAGATGCTAAGAGAGGCTGAAGAGATGTTAGGATGTGTGGCCAGGCCAAGAAAAAACAATCACCTGAATTCTTGGCTAGAAGCAGCAGAAAAAAAGGAGTAGGGAATAAGATGTAGGAGGATCTTCATGTGGTGCCATGGGCTTTGAGCAGTCTGTTGCCCGCTGGGGGATGTGGCGTTCCTCCAGTCCTCCAGGCCCTTCTTGGCTTTTTTGTCATGTGCATTTCAAACGCTCCTTTTAAATCTGTTCCACGTGAAACGTTTGGATTTGTGGAATCTTTTCTGCATTTGTTTTGAAATTTAAAAGAAAAAAAAGGGGGTTGTTGTTTTTTTTTTTGTTGTTTTTTTTTTTTTAGGCAGGTTGGATTGCTTAAAAGAAAAAAAAGGGGGTTGTTGTTTTTTTTTTTGTTGTTTTTTTTTTTTTAGGCAGGATGGATTGATTTAGTCATGGGACTTGGCCACAGCCCGATTCCCAGCTTGCCCAGTTCAAGCACAGTGATGCTGGTTGAACCCCCCCCGATTGGCACAGGGGTGGGTGTACAGCCCACATCCACATCTCGACTGTTTACCCAAAGCCGGCGATTCTGCCAAGAAGCCGCTGTTCGCTGGTAAATGACTTCATCCTACAAGCCACGCAGAGAAATAATGAAGCTTTAGAGAAGCTTCGTCCTATAAATGTAGATGAAATTGACCCTAAAACACAGCGAGTCACTGCCAGCAGCTAAAAAAAGGGATTTTCACAGGGGTGGTAACTCATGCCCTCTGCTCTTAGATAAAGGAATTGTGCTTTACAAGCAGATTAAATGAGGTCACTAACAGAGCTGGTCCATAAAGAGTTGTCCTGAAATTAGTGATATTGTTTAGCTTTAAAGTGTCTGATACATCCTGAAACTGGTGATGTAATGTATGGAAATATCTCAGGTCATCTGTGTGCTGTTCCTGTCATCTGAGGGCTGATTTTAGCGTCGTGGGGAAGCACTTCCTAGTCTTGTTTTCGTAGCACTCTCAAGGCGTAAACTTTGAAAATGCTAAGACTGAGATCGCCGCAAAGGGATCAAAAATGCACTCCATAAAAAATGTAAATGCTTTGTCTTTTCTGAAGACCTGTACCGTTTTATCTTTTGAGCAGAGGCGCAGTGTAAAGTATTAAATTATTCTTGGGCTGAATGGCAGCCAGTGCAGATGCGAAGTGGTAGCCTAAGCTTGCTATGAAATTTAAAATCCATTTAGGCTGTTCATCAGCTTGGAACAGATTTAGCAAAGCATATGAATACACACGTCCGCTGCTGCCCGAAGCTTTGATGGATTCAGCGGGCGTTCGGCCGGAGAAAAGCAGCCTGGGTTTTTCGGTGGCGGAGCTTAGCTGTCCTGGAGTCTATCAGATGACCACGGCTTACTGAAAAGAGCTGGTGTTCTGATCAGGTGCATGAGCCTGGGGGTAGGGAAAGAGGAAAAAAAGAAATAAATTTAAAAAATCCTTCTGCTGAGCTATTGGATAAAGGAAAAGACAGGAAAAATTGTGTAGTGTGAGGATTAAGGTATGTTCTTTCCCCCCACGCGCAAGAGGAGGTCATCTCGTGCTGGGGCATGGTGTAGTTGTGTTGGTGAGGAGTGTGATAGTCACTCTGTGCTGTGATAAACAATCAGATGACCACGGCTTACTGAAAAGAGCTGGTGTTCTGATCAGGTGCATGAGCCTGGGGGTAGGGAAAGAGGAAAAAAAGAAATAAATTTTAAAAATCCTTCTGCTGAGCTATTGGATAAAGGAAAAGACAGGAAAAATTGTGTAGTGTGAGGATTAAGGTATGTTCTTTCCCCCCACGCGCAAGAGGAGGTCATCTCGTGCTGGGGCATGGTGTAGTTGTGTTGGTGAGGAGTGTGATAGTCACTCTGTGCTGTGATAAATCCCCTCTCCTGGGGCTGGATTCTTTCTTCATAAAGCTGTGAGGGCCCCCTGTGAAGGAGGAACCTGCAGGAGTTTCCCCTTTTGTTCCCTCAGTCCATTCAAGCTATTTTGAGGAGGATTTTAAGTCAAAGTGCTATTTTTTTTTTCCTTCTCCCTGAAGTACCTGTATAATTATTACTGGGTTTAGTCAACATTCGCCCTGTGCTATGGGCAGGTTGAATTATGCTTGGGGAGATC